TTTTATACTTTTTTCTTGTTTTTTGAGGATTCCCGTAAATTTTTGGACCGGTGTTATGAAAAATAAGATTAAAAAAAAATTTTTTTTTAATTGAAAAAAAAAATATAAATCGAAAAAACACATTTCTGAAAATTTCAGTATATTTGTAGAAAATGTCAAAGTTTCATATGAAAGAAAGAAAAAAGAAATTAAAAATTGTTATCATTGAGAAATTCGAAGTTTTTTCAGAAAATTTTAAAAATAACGATGAAGATAGCTTTGAATAATTTTTTTATATTTTTTTCCAAAAAGAACATTTAATAACAAAAATTTTGAAAAAAAAAAAAACGTCCCGATAAGCCAATTTTTGAAAAAGTTATGGCAATTTAAAAATAAAAAAGCGGTTTTTTTGAAAAATTCGGAACTTTTTTTTGGTTGGGTAAAAAAATTTGAAAAAATTATGAGAGACGTTTTTGATAGGGTAGAAAAGGATGGTAAACTTTCAGCCAAATCAAAAGGGGTCAGGGTCAAAAGTGGTCGATTTGGCGTGGAATGCCCCATATATACTGAATTACATCTAATGAATATAACTCATATAATAGTCTTGTACTAATTTCATTGTCAGCATTTAATAGCCGATTCTCTTTTTTTCTCGCGTCGCACTCGCTACGAGAAACGGTACTATCTTTGTTGCACTCATGATTATAAAGCTATTGTAGTTTTATGTTTTTCTTTTAAGCAAATGAGAATTTCGAAAAAAACGCTCTGCTACGAAATAGATAATTTAAAAAATCTATTACGTAGCAGAGCGTTTTCTTCAAAATTCTTCTTTGTCTAGAAGAAAAATATAAAGCTGCAATTGTAGGTACCGGCTGTTAGTACTATCGCCAAGTGAGTGTTTTTGGGGATTGTTTTTAAATTTGGATAGATTAGATTGTTTTTAAATTTGGAGTCAAATGAATCTGCATCGAATAGAGTTGAATAAAAATAATTATTGAGCAATATAGTTCCAGAGATATTAAATAGTAAAAATTTAGTTTTTGAAACTCTTATATACTCCCGGAAAAATATGATCAGACCTGATCAGACATAAACAGGCATGAGTCTTCAGACCTGATCAACTTTACTATAACTTGACTCAAATACTTGCACAGCAAGTCTTGACGTCAAATTACAGAGTAACTTATAGGTAACTCAACTGAAACCACTCGCTTTTTTAACTCATTCTGTTAAGTTGGCTTCAGATTGCGGATGTAGATTGATAGCAAATTTTAGTTAAGGTGGCTATCAGAGTTGAATAGAAAATTTTTAGGCTTATTGCTGGGATTAAACTCGGGTCCTCTCGTGTTAAGGTCTGGAATGCTCCTTATTTGTCCAAATCATTGAGTTCTAACAATTAACTGATATATTGAGACTTGAATTACGGAAAATATTGATTTTATCATTCTGGAATTTCATTAAATTTGAGTGCTGGAATTGTATGAAATTCAAATCTCAGAAGAATTTATAAAATTTTGTGGGATTTCATGAAATTTGAGGAAAGTCATAAAATTTTGTAATCTTCTTATAAAAAGCTTGCTAAAATTTGATCAAAGTACATATAATCACGATCAGGAATTAAAAATAGTAATTTTATTAAATTTCACGAAATTATATGCAGCTTTAGAAAATTTCAGGCATTGTATGCAATCGTTTTTAATAGATTTCATAGAAATCTAACTATTGCGATGGTCCTCATGACGAAACTTTTGAAAAATTTTGCTATATTCCGACTTAACACGACGAGCTGAGTCAGAAAATACATATGATCTAACATTTACTAGCAAAATAATACCAAATCTGATAGATAAGCACTGTTCTTAGCTTATAAATGCCAAATCCAATTAGATTAAAGATTCTTTTTTTGAAAGCCACGATACTCCTTGATTTTATAATTGATCTGATCTAGAAATTCCTGCTGAAACGAACCGGAGTCTTGTCTACGATTTGAATGATTTCATTCAAGAGGATGGACAAGTTGCATCTACATCAACTGCAACGGTAATTTTTTATTTACTCGAGCTGGATTTCATTAATAGTCGTACAAATATATTTATGATCCCATCTCAAATTTAGAGTGGTACAAATACCGAAAAGCACACAGGTAAAGGTCACAACAAGAAGGCAGATGCTGATCATGGAGATAAGGGTCGGAAACGAAAGGAAAAGGAAAAGTCATCGAATCAAGAATCAAGTGAACAGCCAATGGAGGATGACATACCTGATGGTATACCTGATCCTTTGGCTAGGCTATCTGATTTGGAAGGTTCAGATCTGGCTCTGATTTTTCGGCTCAACGCAAGCAAACCTTACATTTATCTGGTCACCAGTATGGTTGAATGCGATCAGATCTGACATTTATTAGCCAAATACAGCACTCAATTACTAGATCTAGCTGTATTTGGTTCACATATGTCTGGATCTGAACAGATTGAACATTTAATGACCAAATACTACTAAATCTGATAGATTGTGGTTGTATTTGGCAAATAAGTATCAGTTTGCATCAAATTCAGTTATGTTTGAACCAAATACAGCTAGATTTAGTAATCTGGCGATGTATTTGGTTAGAATATGGCTAGATCTGATCAGCTCTGACATTTACTAGCCAAGTCCTACTAAATCAAATAGCTTAGTGCGCTATTTGCTTAATACAGGCCAAATCTGATCAGATTCAGCCATGTGTGAACAAAATATAGCTTCAGATCACAAGATCTAGTGATATTTGATTCAAACATGGCTAAATTTCACCCGAACTGACACTTATTAGCCAAATGCAGCACTAATCTATCACATTTTGTGGTATTTGGTCATTAAATGTCAGAACTGATCAGATTCTTCGATTTGTGAACCAAAAACAGCTTTTGATTACTAGGTTCAGCGGTACTTGATTCAAACATGGCTAGATTTCACCTGAATACTACTAGATATAATAGATTGGTTTTGTCTCTGATCTAAATATCGCTGAATCTATTCATATCCGATATTAATCGATCAGAGACCATCAGATGTTATCATTTTATGTCAGATCTAATCCAGATATACCGGTTCTCATCAGTTAAACAGACCCAGTGAGGTCAAATCATCTCTAAAATTGTATTTTCCAATGCTATTTGTAAATACCTCCAGATAATCAATCATTGAAGCGTATTTTGCTGACCTTATGCCAGGACATAAAGCTTGTCAAACAAGTCCAGCTCGATATGCTGAGAAATCAGAATCAACCACCAGCTCAACAGCCCAATGCACCTGTTGACCAAGTCTGAGAGTCTCAATGTTACCTTTGAGTATCGTAAAGGTGTATTAAGCATTTTTTCTTGGAAATAGACATTACTACAATTATTATAATTTAGTCGAAATTTAAGAAAAAATTTTTAATGTGTAAATTGACATTCCACACCTTTACGACTCCTTTACACTTGCAGTTGACATCACTTTTCTACAATTTTCTTATTTACAATCACAGGTTGAAATAGGTCATCCAGGCTCCAATGTTTTCGTCACTCAACAGCAATGGGATGCAGCTGATTTCCAAAATTCATACACCTCAATGGGAATATCTCTGGTCCGTGCGTTGTTTAATGATGACGTACTGATGGCCAGTAATTTGAGAGGTGGTCCAAGCAAGATTCATAAAAATGCCCCTCGTAGACCCGGGTTGAATTCGGTCATTCCCGGGTTGAATTCGGAAGCAACTCATAATTAAATTTAGGCATGTGTGAACCAAATACAGCTTCAGATTTGAGGATATAGAGATATTTTGTTCGAACATGGCTGAGTTTGCCCCGAATTGATACTGATAAGCCAAATACAGCACCAATCTATTAGATTTAAAAGTATGTGGTCAGTAAATGTCAGATCTGATCAGATTCAGCCATGCTTGAACCAAATGCAGCTGTAGATCACAAGATCTAGTGATATTTAATTCGAACATGGCTGAATCTGATCAAAACTGACATTTACTGACCAAATACCTCCCAATCTAATATATTGGTGCTGTAACTGGCTAACAAGTATCAATTCGGGGCAAATTTAGCCATCTTCGAATAAAATATCACTAGATCTCGTCAGCTAAAGCTGTATTTGATTCATACATGGCTGATCCTGATCAACTCTGACATTTACTGACCAAATGCCTCCAAGTCTAATCGATTGGTGCTCTGATTAGCTAATAAATAACAGATCTGATCAGATTCACCCATGTGTGAACCAAATACAGCTTTAAATCACAAGAACTGGTGATATTCGATTCAAATATCGCTGAATTTGACCCGAACTGACAATTATTAACCAATTACGGCACCAATCTATTAGATTTGGTTGTATTTGGTCAGTAAATTTAAGATCTGATCAGATTCAGCCATGTTTGAACCAAAGACAGCTTTAGGTCAAAAGATATAGTGATATTTAATTCAAACATGGCTGAATCTGATCAGATCTGACATTCACTGATCAAATAGCTCTAAGTCTAACAGATTAGTGCTATAATTGGTTACTAAATGTCAGTTCGGGTCAAATTCAGCCATTTTTGTATCAAATATCACTAGATCTTGTGATCTAATGCTGTAGTTAGTTTACACATGGCTGAATCTGATCAGATCGGACATTTATTGATCGAATTTCCCCAATTCTAATAGATTGGTGCTGTTATTTGCTAATAAATGTTAGATCTATTCAGCCATGTGGGAACCAAATACAGCTTTAGATCACAAGATCTAGTGATATTTGATTCAAATACGGCCGAATTTAACCTGAACTGATACTGATTAGCCAATTACAGCATCAATCTTTTCGATTTTAAAGTATGTGGTCAGTAAATGTCAGATCTAATCAGATTTAGCCATGTGTGAACCAAATTTAGCTCCAGATCACAAGACCTAGTGATATTTGATCCAAAAATGGCTGAATTTGACTCGAACTGAAATTCACTGGCTGAATATTACCAAATTCAATAGACTGGTGTTGTATTTCAATGATTGATGTCACATTTAATCCAACTCCACTATAGTCAACAGCAAATAAAATATCAGATTCCCTTGCGTTGAACCGTAAGATGTCGAATCTGTACCTCTCAAATGAGTTGGCGAATCTAAAAATTGAATGATGCTGTCATTTTCCATCTGCTGATTGCTGGATTTTTGGTCCGATGGCTTCTTCTTTTTTTTCTTCTTTTGACTTTCATCTTGATGAATAGTTTACGCCTCGTTGTTGTCTCCTTTTTCCTTCCGCTTTTTAGTCTTAGTCGCTTCCTACATCACACATGCAGTCATTAAAATTATTCGAACCTAGCTAAATTATAAAGATTTAGCTTATTACAAATTCATTTACCTTCGGAGTCGAATTTAACTTCACTGCAACTTCTTTCTCTTGTTCGACGGCATCGTACAACGAATCCAAATTTATTGCCACAGGCTGTTCGGATTTTCTCTCAGCAAAATACACTCGTGAAAAAAAACGGGTCAATTACATGGTGCGATTGATAAACGGTTCGATTTTTGAGATTCGTAATTTCATTGCTATAGAGAAAGATAATTGTAAAACTACTTACCTGATTGGCTATTACTATGTACTTGATAAACAATCACTTATTAAACATAGAAAACTTGAAAACTACTTTATAATTGAGGAAAAAATAGATACTCTTGCTGCCGTGCCTACCGATATGGTAGATAAAAAAGTAATCTTTCTACAGATGACTAAATTAAATTCTTACGTAGCCTATGTACATGATTGTGATTTAGAACTATTGACATAATGTAAATATTTTGAATTATTTTGATAATGTGAATGAAGCTTCATTTGCAGAAAAAGTTTCTCACGTAAAAAAATTGTACTTTGTTTAAGTGTTGCTGTAAGTTACAATAAAATTAATATTTTTTTCCTTTAATCATTTCTATGTATTATTTCTTTTTTCCTGTGCCATTTCTATAATTTTTACTAGTTTGTGCATACTAGTCAAATAAGATTTTAAGCAACCATCCTTAATAATCCATTAGTCGTTAGTAATAACCCACCCAGCGCCTGACCTCTACTTCATTTTACACTAATTGTGACACTTTGACCATCCAGCGTCTGATCTCGACTTCATTTTATACCAATCATGACACTATGACCACCCAGCGCCTGATCTCTACTTCATTTTACATCAATTGTGAGTCATGACCTTCATCCTTGATCTATTCTATCTTTTTTCTGAAGAAGTTATAATATGCTTATAACTTTATATATGGAGCTATATATTTTTCTGTATATGGCCAAAATATATTTCCCATTATATAGGGAACATATAAAAATCTTTTTATGATAAACCATGCATCTTTCGATATGTACTTTGGCTTATGAAATTAAATATATATAATCATATAAAAAGAATCTTGTATAAGATAAGCATATATAAAATTATATTACCAATATATTTACGTTTATATTATGCAATATATTTATTATTATAAATAAAATTATATACTTTTTATATATGATGAAACATATATGTGTACTAGGGTGCTTTTTTTTTTGCGACTATTTTTTTTTTTTCGTTTCCATCCCGAAATTTTGTTGGAAATACACCCAAAAAAATTCCCTGAAAGTTTGAGCCCTTAATATTAATATTAAGTACTCCTACACAGCGTGTGAAGATTTCCCATTTGAAATATACGAGAACTTTGATTTTTTTTTTT